ATCTTTGTTCCATCTTCCTTCCTATTTTCCCCATTTTTATCTGTTTTAGCTATTTATGGTATTTCACGTATCATTTACATCCCCCCCCATGTAGTTTGTTATGCTAGACAATCCTAAAAAGCCAGCTTTTATATTGAAATAGTAGGCTCCCATTTTCTGAAAACAAATTCTAAGAATTTGTGCAGCCACAAGGAAAATGATGGTGGATAAATATATTTTTAAAAGGACAAACAATATTATGTTGACACTTTTGACAGCTGGAAATGAAGCCAAACAGCAGAAATATTTAATGCTACTTTCCTTCGTGATTCTGATCAGTGCCAGAGATGTTTAGAAAAAGAACATCATGAGACTTGCCTGATAATGACAGTGAGGCTCTAACCCTTACTGCACAGAAGTAAACAAAATTAGGCAAAGTATTATGAATAAGAAAAACAAGAACAAGAAATAAGAGAGGCAGGTATTGCACTTTGATATAATTGCATGTCCAATAAAAACGATAAGTACTAAATAATGAATGGTTATTTCATGTTACAATTGTTTGTGCCTGATATAAAGCATGGTTATGCGAGTGAGTGTGTGTGTGAGAAGTACACCAATGAAGCTTCCTATCAGCTCTTCTATTTATGCTAGCTAATGGTTAACAATAGCCACAATGTTGGGAAAATGTCAGTCCATATTATCTCTCCTGAATATGAAAAGTCATTAACAATCAGTTTGTTTGAAATTCTGGTATTATTATTGGTAGTCCTCAACTTACAATCGTTTGTTTAACAATTGTTCGAAGTTACAATGGTAGACAGGTAGAAGTGACTTACAACCGGTTCTCGTACTTACGACTGTCGCACAGTCATGGAATCAGAATTTGGAAGCTTGGTAACCAGCATGTATTTGGAATGGTTGCAACGTCCCAGGGTCAAATCATTGGCACTTGTGATCTTCCCAGCTAGTTTCTGACCAGCAAAGTCAATGGGAAGTCAGATTCATTTAATAACCACACGATTCACTCAACAACTGCAGTGATTTGCTTACCAACATTGAAAAAAAGGTCATGAAATGGAAACACAACTCACTTAACAACTGTCTTGCTTAGCAATGGAAATTTTGGGCACAATTGTGGATTACCAGCTGGCTTCCAACAAGCTAAGTAAAGAGGGAAAACCAGATTCACTTAACTGCAGTGATTTGTTTAATGTAGCAAAAAAGTTGTAAAATCAGACACAACTCACAACTTGCTTAGCAACAGAAATTCTGATTTCAATGGTGTTCGTAAGTCGAGAATTATTGGTAACCTTATTCTAAATATGATCAATAATAGAAATGATATATTGATTCTATCTCTTTCAAGAAAACTTTTTAAATGATGCACAGATTATGGTAGTCCATAGCTGTGCAATACACTTTTACTGTAACTAATCAAAATATCTCACAAGAGTTTTCTGAAATTCCTCATTATGCCAAAAAGATCAAGAATATCCCAAAATTAAGGCAAATGCTTTAGCCTGACAGATTTCAAAGTTAGACATAAGTGGTTGACCAACGTACAGCTGATACTGGTCTTGTTAGATAAAACCCTCAATGCTTCTTTTTGATCTCATCCTAATTTAATTAAATTGAAATAGCTTTTTAAAAACATCATTTAACATCAGAAATCACCCAACAATGTTGAGTCCAATGATGGATTCTCAGAAGGGATATACCATTGTCTTCATCAAGGAAGGCACAACAGCCCCCTCACTTTTATTGTACTTTCTTGTGTTACTACAGACACAGAGCAGGAGCATCCTAGAATTGTCACTCTCAGACTTAAAGGAAGAGGAGAGGAGAAGCATATAAATAAACGTTATGTGGGGATATGTGAGTGGAAGGTCATAGAGAAGATCCGGAAAAAATTGAAGGTCAGGAACCAGATTTTAAAGCACATTTCATATATCTTTTCAGCCATTCTATTCAAATAGGTTAGACTAGTGGGGGATTAAAGTGCATGGCAGGATAAACTATTGTGAGAAAAAAGAAATTTGGCATTCTTCTAAAACTTTACATAACTGGTTTTGTTGTTAGTTGGGAAGTCGTGTCCGACCCATCGTGACCCCATGGACAACATTTCTACAGGCCTTCTTGTCCTCTAACATCTTCTGGAGTTCATTTAAGCTCACGCCTATTGCCACCTCGTTCTCTGTCGTCCCCTTCTTCTTTTGCCCTCAATCTTTCCCAGCATTAGGCTCTTCTCCAGTGAGTCCTTCCTTCTCATTAGGTGGCCAAAGTATTTGAGTTTCATCTTCAGGATCTGGCCTTCTAAAGAGCAGTCAGGGTTGATCTCATCTAGGACTGACCAGTTTGATTGCCTTGCAGTCCAAGGGACTCCCAGGAGTCTTCTCCAGCACCATAGTTCAAAGGCCTCAATTCTTTGGTGCTCAGCCTTTCTTATGGTCCAACTTTCACAGCCATACATTGCAACTGGGAACACCATAGCCTTGACTATACGCACTTTTGTTGGCAGGGTGATGTCTCTGCTTTTTAGTATGCTGTCTAGATTTGCCATAGCTTTCCTTCCCAGGAGCAAGCGTCTTTTAATTTCTTGGCTGTAGTCTCCATCTGTGGGGATCTTGGAGCCCAGGAAAATAAAATCTATCACTACCTCCATTTCTTTCCATCTATTTGCCAGAAAGTGAGAGGCCCGGATGCTATGATCTTAGTTTTCTTAATATTGAGTTTTCAGTCCACTTTTGCACTCTCCTTCTTCACCTGCAGGATGACTGCATTTAATGGGAGACTGACTCTTTGCAATATATCCATGAAACACCCCCCCCCCCAATTAAATCTTTATCCTCCCAAACTGAGGAAGGGAGGCAGGGAAAGAGAGAGAGAGAGAGAAGGGAGGAGAGAGAGAGAGAGAGAGAGAGAGAGAGAGAGAGAAAGAGAAAGAGGAAAGAGAGAAAGGGAAGGAGTGTGAGAGAAAGCTATCTCAGATGGCTTGTTGACATGAAGCAATCACCCTGGCCGGAGCAGAGCCAAAAGAGTAGAAGCTAAAATCCGTCATGGTGAAGGGCCAAGGGATTAGCAGTTAGAAAGTGCTTCATTTAGAAAGAACTGGAGTGGGAAAAACAGGGAGCAGTAGCTGGAATACAGAGGAAAACAGTCAAAGGAATGAGAGTTAATGATTTTTTTTTTTAAGGATGGCAATAATTTCTTTTATGATTTGAACTTTGCAACGTAGAAACCTACAGAGCACCCGATGGTACCACCATGTCAAGACATGACATTCCTATTAGCAAGGTGCCCAAAGGCAAACACAGTTTTTAGCAGGCCACTTATTTTGCGGGGGGCGGGGGGGGGTTAGAGGGAAGGCAGGAGGGAGTGGGGAAGAGTGTCTAGTGGGAAAGTTTAGGAAAGATGCATTTGAAAGAGCAGCAGAGTGCAGGCAGGAACAAGAGCCAAGGCCGTTTAAAGAAAATAGAACAAAGGAACAAAGGAGTAAGGGGACAAATATCAGGGGACCAAAGTGCTTCTCAGGTGTTCAAGAAACAAGATAAATATTTTGCAGACATAAAGAGCTGAGGGCAAGCGAGCAATATTAAATAAAACAGATCAATGAAACAATAAAAAAAAGGAACACATAAAACAAGGATCCAACAAAATCGAGACGGATTTTTTTTTTTTTTTTTTTTTTAAAAATAGGATCAATATAAGCAGATATTCCAATAAAGCAGCCCTTTCGATCAGTCCAAGGGTGGGAACTGAAGCTTACAATGCAAAGCCAGCCAGATATGTTGAACTACAATATCTACAATCCACAGCCGGCAAAGTTAACAGGTGTGCCATAGCTGGAAATTGCGGAAGTGATAGTGCCCTGATTGGAAACGTTGTGAGTAAGGCCTAATGAACATGCCAAAATCTACTCCAATAGGTTCCTGAGACTTACCACTACAATCACGAGGACATCCAAACCAAAGAAACACAACTGAAACGGCTGTTTCTGTTCTACAATTTAATATCCAACTTTTCTTTGGATACATTTTTTCAGAAACATGAGTGCTCCTTCATCTAATATGATGTGATTTTATACAGCTGAAAAAGGTGTAAAAGCATATATTTCCCACTACCTTTGCATCTTAATAAGAAGGACAGAGATTAATAATAATAACAACCACCACCACCACTGGATGACATCACCATGTCTTGCTTTTTCAGCAGAGTAAGGGAAGATACTTAGGGATGATTCACACCCTGGCCAGTGTCTTTTTTCACTTTTATCATCGGGCAGAAGACACAGAAGTATAGCCAGCCAGACAAACAGGTTTAAAAACTGCTTCTACCTGTGGGTTGTCAGACTTCTAACACAATATAGCACCACAAATTTCACTGGTGCCAGTGTAGTGTGTGATATATATGCACCATAATATAAGATAATACACCTGAATAATATACATGTTGCACAAAATATGTTGTACATATGGAAACACATGACTAGTTTTTTACCTAACTACTTGTATAAGGATTATCCTTTATATTATTCACATTGTCTTGTATGAACTGCACCAGTAGAGGCTAAACCAATTTTGTTGTATACATGATGTATAATGACAATAAAGGCTTTGACTTTGAAAAAAAGTGACTTATGACCAATTTTCACACTTACAACGATTGAGACAACCCAATAGTCATGCAATCAAAATTCAGATGCTTGGCAACCGACTCATATTTATGACGGTTACAGTGTCCCAGGGTCACACAATCAGCTTTTGTGACCTTCTGACAAGCAAAATCAATGGGGAAGTCAGATTTGCTTAACAATCGTGTTGTTAGTTGAACAACTGGAGTGATTCACTCCACAACTGTGGCAAGAAAGGTTGTAAAATGGGACAAAACCCACTTAACAAATGTCTCATTTAGCAACATGAAATTTTGGGGTCAATTGTGGTCATAAGTCGAGGACTACCTATGTACAATTCTATATATTAAGACATCTTCTGTCAAAGTCAAGTTTTTTTGTGTTTTACCTTGGGATCTGCAGTGAGCAATTTGAAGGCTTGATACACTTGTGCTTCTTTCACGCCTCCACCAAGATCCAGGAAATTGGCAGGTTTTCCACCATTAAGGGAAATTATATCACAGGTTGCCATTGCAAGTCCAGCGCCATTTACTGTAATTAAGAGAGTTTAAATTGCTGATTTTTTTTTAAGAAGACGAAATACGAACATGTGCAAATGCAGTTCCAAGGTGCCAAAACCAAAAAAAGAGGGAGAAGTTAAAGGAAAAAAGAACAGAAGGAAGGAGAGAAAGGCACAGATGGGGAAAAATTTTAACTTATGGAAAATGTGGACATTTGCTTCCAAGTCCTGTGAGTCTGATCCAAGGTATCTCAATTTACTGAGCTTTTTTTTTAAAAAAACAAAAAACGGGGGAGGGTACATAGAAATACTAAATGAATAAATCATAGCCTAAGCAAGCAAATCTCCATACATTGCCAATATGTATTTCAATAATACTGAAATCGGCATTGCTTATGCCTAGCAGTGAGAAAAGTCACCCTTCTGCTGTTTCTTATATTCACCATCTATCTCAATGTACGACTCAGAAATAGCAAAAATGGGGAATAAGGTACTACATCTCTTTTGAATGAAAAAAAAAAAATCAGTTTCCTCTGTATATTAACAGAGGGGTAGGGAGGGCTGGTGGGTGACCAGATAGTGGGAAGCTGGTGGAACCTCAGGAAAGATGAGGGAGAAGAGGAGGTAGCTGAGCACCTAGGAAGGAGAGCATGCTATATAACCATGATGGCGAACCTATGGCACGTGTGCCATTGGTGGCACGCGGAGCTATATTAGTAGGCAAGCCAGCTCAGCTCTGGGGCGCATGCGCACGCCGGCTAGCTGATTTTCGGACCTTCTGGGCCCACCAGAAGTAGGGAAACAGGCTGTTTCCTGCCTCTGGAGTGCCTGGGGGGGTCCCTACGGAGCTGAAAGGGCCCATTTCCCGACTCCCGGTGGGACAGGAAGTGACGTTTTTTGCTGTCCCCAGCCTCCAGACACTACTAGAGAGGCTCCTAGAGATTCCTAGAGAGGCTCCTAGAGACTCCTAGAGAGGTTCTGGAGGCTGGGGACAGCAAAAAAGTCACTTCCTGTCCCACCGGGAGTCAGGAAATGGGCCCTTTCAGCCTCCGTAGGGCCTCCAAGGGAGTGGGAAAGGCTGTTTTTGCCCTTCCCAGATAAATAGAGAGGATCTGGAACCAGGTAAGAAAGAAAAACGGGCCTACCAGGCCATCATGTGCCAGGAGAGGGGGGAGGGGGAATTGCATGTGCATGCGCGTGGGCACGTGCGCATGCGACCCTCCCCCGCCCCCCTCTCCTGGCATGCGATGGCAAAAAGATTAGCCATCACTGCTATATAAGATGGAGAACATTTTACTGAATATAATTCCTCCTCCCTTTTCTTGCATTCAATACAGCAGAGGAATAAAAAAGTAGCAACAAAAGCCAATTATAAAATCAGAAGAAACTTCATATTTCATGTCTTCATTTTATTCCTTCACTTACCCGGATCCTTTAGTCAGTTTTGCAGGTTTATGGGCCATGCCTAATTTCATTAACGTTGCACAAAACAATGTTACAACAACAAATTCTTTCTAATAATAGGTTGTAAAAAGTTGTCCTTTTAACAAATTCCCAATAGTTACAGTTTTATCAACACTAGAAAATGTCTTAATTTTCCCTTTTAAAAACGGTTGGGTTCTATGTACCAGAGTTCCCCCAAACTTTCTGGCTTTGCGGACTGGCGGGGGGGGGGGGGGAATGGGTAGGTGGGTGGAGAGGGGATGGTTCTGTGTGAGTAGGTGCTTGCCCGCTGTTCACGTAAGTGGGGCTCTGTGTGCACACACACGCTCAGCCACCACTTCTACGGACAAATTCTGAACTACCCAAGATCCAGTAGTGGACCACAGCTCGGAGTTGGGGTCCCCGGTTCTATACATTAAGGGTTTGTCTCACTGCAAATATGCTTAGCTCATGAATGAGATAGAATAATATGGCTTAGTCCATTAAAATATCAACTTCATTGCATAGCTAAATTTTTTGGGTGAGAGACAGATACATTTCAACCAGGGTTTGGACTTAGTGGTCCAAACAGCTGCTTCTAACCTTATGGTATTTCTGAACTTGTAATAGAAATAGAATAACAGAGTTGGAAGGGACCTTGGAGGTCTTCTAGTCCAACCCCCTGCTTAGGCAGGAAACCCTACACCACTTCAGACAAATGGTTATCCAACATCTTCTTAAAAACTTCCAGTGTTGGAGCCTTCACAATTTCTGGAGGCAAGTTATTCCACTGATTAATTGTTCTAACTGTCAGGAAATTTCTCCTTAGTCCTAGGTAGCTTCTCTCCTTGATTAGTTTAGGTGCTGCCTAGAAACCAGGAGACTATGAGTTCTAGTCCTGCTTTAGACATCAAAGCCAGTCGGGTGACTTTGGGCTAATCATCCAACTCTCAGCCCAACTCACCTCTCAGGGTTATTGCTCGCCCCCCCACTCCCGCTTTGTCAATGAGCCATTAAGGCCTGGGCCAGTCTATTCTACATAACAAAGATCTACCTCCTTCAGGCAGAGCCATAGTAGGAATTGCCCAAAGCCCTTTCATTACATCATCACCCAACAAGAGTCAACCAAGCCTTTGTAGGTTGTCAAAAGACAACCTACAAAGTTACCCCTGCATGGCCCCATGGGAGTCTGACAGCCAATCAGAACACAAGCTCAAATTCAAAGCCCAACAGAGGGCATAAAATCCAGGCACTCTCAGCATCTCTGCCCTTTTTGCCTAGGATCTCAAACCATGTGATCCTATTCATCAATAAACCTTCTTTCCAAGCAACTTCCATGAATCCAGTGTCTTTTTCCCCACTTGGAACTGAACCCAGATGGATATTTCTTCCAACAGAAGGAAGGAAGGAAGGAAGGAAGGAAGGAAGGAAGGAAGGAAGGAAGGAAGGAAGCTGTGGTGTTCATAGAGCTAATGTACCAGTGGGATTAATCTATGTGCTAGTCTACAATGTATAACAATGTACAATGTATAACAATGTACAATGTATAGTCTACAATTCTTTATGCAGCTCTAAATTCAATCCTTGTCAAACCATTATGGAAGGAGCTAGGAATCAAAAGGAATTTTAGGCATGACTGTTCTCAAGTGCCCTTAGCAGAATTGTTATTTTATTTTCATTGAAGTCTTTCTCCCTAGAAAAATTAGTATTTTTTCATGCTTTGAAAAACTCTTTGCTTCTAAGGTATTTGTCATAAGTGCCTGTAGAGAGGTTAGAGCCAACTCTGTTTAGATGTGTGATGTTAGGCATGCAATTTTTCAGACCAGACCAGGAAGATATAGCAATAGGATTACTCACCAAAACAGGCAATGTTTCCATCCAGACCTATGTACTTTAAGTCGTAATGGGCAGCTTCATTTTCTATTGGTTCATTCTCAGATTTGTCATCCATGGCAAATATGGATTTTTGCCTGAACTCAGCATTGTCATCAAAGTTTATCTTGGCATCAAAGCATACCACTAAATGGAAAAGGAAATAAAATGGAAAAGGAAAACAGAATTAGAATTCCACCCCAGATTTTAAGGGCTTGCAAAAGCAGTTATCAAAAAGCAATTTGCCACAAACCTACTAGGTGTCAAAGGAAAAAAAAATCTATGAAATCTCCACGTTGCCTTCATTTCAGCCTCAGTATATGAATGGGATCGGTTCAAATTGTCCTTCGCTTCACTGAAATTAAAATAGTGTTTTCTCTTTTAAGCTGATGGGTGCAAGATGTGTTACATCTTAACACCCACTATGTCAGTGGTGAAATCAGGAGATCAGTAGAGGGTTGGATCTGACTAATGCTATTTAGGTTGACGTAGCCATGTTCTTTCTTTTCCACGTCTTTCTTATCAGCCCTACCTGCAGATTTTCCCTGATTGTCTCACTAAAGAGAGAATTACAACGGTGTACACTGGTTGTCAGAACTGTAAATAATGCTAGGCTGCTCAACTGGCAGCATTCTCCTTGTATTAAATCTAGGTCTACTACAGGTTCAGTGCGAAGCTGAAATGGTGAAACAGGGGAATAGTACAACAGAGAAATGGTTTGACACTGAAATAACATAATGGCTTTGTCACAAGGGCTTTGTGGATTCACAAAGGCTCTGATCCATCTCATAGCGAACAAAACATTCCTGCAATTTTGTTTTAATTAACACAGCAGAGCAAAACAAGTTTCATTTTCAAACAGTGTTTCATTTCTAATTCAGTTTAAAAGAAAGCCAAATTCCTGTCTCTGGTCCCTCTTGTCTTTCTTATTGATAAAGAGCCAAGAAGCAACAATAAAACCATAGAGCGAAGTAAGCTCAGCAGAGACTTGGCAGATATGGGGATTGCTAAGCATTTCTAGGCTTCTTCTTACATCTCTACTAGCAAAGAAAAGATTCCCAATTTGCGTAAAAGTCCACCTTGTTAATGCCTGTAGTCTACCATTGGCACAAAATTAGAGCATTACTATTTCATTCCTCTTTCCTACTTTGAGATAAGTAATGGAGTTAATTACGCTGGCTGCAATACTCTTTGCTGAGGTTGTCAGTCCCTTTCTGTTTTCTGGCAGGATGCTGTAGCCCACTGGCCCCAAAAGATTTCCTAATAGGAATCCTCAATTGCTTATATGATTCAATCTGAAATGCCAGTGCAGGGAATCTAATATTAAACAGAATTAGGAAAGCAACGTTTTTTTAAAAAAAGAACCAAATAATAGAAACGGTGGCTCAGTGGCTAAGATGCTGAGCTTGTCAATCAGAAGGTCGGCAGTTCAGCGGTTCGAATCCCTAGTGCCACGTAACGGGGTGAGTTCCTGTTACTTGTCCCAGCTTCTGCCAACCTAGCAGTTCGAAAGCACGTAAAATATGCAAGTAGAAAAAATAGGGACCACCTTTGGTGGGAAGGTAACAGAGTTCCGTGCGCCTTTAGTGTTCAGTCATGCCAGCCACATGACCACGGAGATGTCTTCGGACAGCACTGGCTCTTTGGCTTAGAAACAGAGATGAGCACCACCCCCTACAGTAGGGAACGACTTGCACATATGTGCGAGGGGAACCTTTACCTTTACTATGCAATACCCAGCTCTTATCAAGAGGGCTAAATGAGTCTGATTAGTGCACTATAAGAACAGTACAAACAAACTGAAGGGGCTTCAGAGAAAGAACTGAAGATAGATGGCAGGAAGGAAAGAACCACATATACATGGTACATCAGGAAAAAGGTCTGATATCAAACTACATATTATTGCTGATGCCTTCTTCCCCTTTCCTTATTTAATGTTAACTTGGTATTTATTCAAAAATAGCATGGCAGATAGCTAAATCCTCCAGAATCCCCACACATCTGCAAGAAGACAAAGCAGAACCTACGTGACATCATCACACAAGGCATCATTTTGACAACACTTTGTGACTGCTACTGTGGGAGACTGCTCCTAAGATATTGTAGAGCTAAAACTGGATACATTCAGTTTGTGACTTGCAAAAGTGAGGTCATCTCTACTCTCAACACTAGAGCCCCAATCCAGATTATAATTGCCATTAATTGCCATTAATTTACCCTTAATGAAGAAGGTATATATAATAGAATAAGAACAGAATAACAGAGTTGGAAGGGACCTTGGAGGTCTTCTAGTCCAACCCCCTGCTCAGGCAGGAAACCCTATAACATTTCAAATGGTTGGACAAATGGTTGTCCAATCTCTTCTTTAAAATTTCCAGTGTTTTGAGAATTCACAACTTCTGGAGGCAAGTTGTTCCACTGGTTAATTGTTCTAACAGTCAGGAAATTTTTTCTTAGTTCTAAGTTGCTTCTCTCCTTGATTAGTTTCCACCCATTGCTTCTTGTCCTGCCCTCAGGTGCTTTGGAGAATAGCTTGACTCCCTCTTCTTTGTGGCAGCCCCTGCAATATTGGAACACTGCTATCATGTCTCTCCTAGTCCTTCTTTTCCTTAAACTACACATACCCAATTCCAGCAACTGTTCTTTATATGTTTTAGCCATGTCTTTAAATTAGTATTATTTTTTTTAAGAACCTACAGGATGAAAATAACACAGACAATGCTTAAATGTTTCAGTTTCTAGCCTTATGCCTGGATTGCAGAATTTGTTCCTTTGTTGGAAACACAATGACAACAGTATGATCAGGTGACTCTTGGCAGCATGCAGGAAAAAAAGTGCCACATACTAAGCTAACTTTTAATTCATTAATCTATATTTCACTATCTTTGAGAGGTGTGGCCCTCAAAATGTTGAACTAATTGTAGGCTAATGAGCCATTAAAATGCACACTTTCTTCTTCCTCCCAAAATTAAGGAATTAATCCTCAATTTATATCAGCAGCATAATCTTATCAGCAGCATCCAGTGGCAAGACACAGCATAATGATACACAAATAATATATCTTCTACTATTATTCTAACCAACATAATTATTTCTTCTATATATATCCAAAATGCCATAGGGAGCTTTCAGAGTTGGAAAAGGGTGAGGAGGGGGAGTGTTAAATTTTATATATTTTTATCATTAATAATTTGTTCAATAAATCAGTTTAACATGACTATTTTACATTATAGTCATAAAACAAGTACACTTCATCATGGCCACATTTCAATTTTTTGACTTATTGTATTCTATTACACTAAATTATTTAAATTATTCTCTTCTCTTGCACTAAATTATTCTGAAATAATTTTATGCCATTTGCTTTTTTAAAAATAACTTTGTTTCATTCGGCTGTCTAAAAGAACGGTTTCTTAAAATAGCAGGAACATCTTGATTGCATTATTGAAGATCTGTGTCTTTTAAGATTGTTGTCAAATAAGACACAGTATAATTTTAAAATCCAAACTAGTCTACTTAGTTTACTAAAAGGTGTTTATTAGTTGTGCCCATAAAATAATAATTAAAAAATCTGGGCAAATTATGTTATTTGCTCCCCAATTGTGCAAACTACAACTGGTCTTAATATTTGACATTTTGAGAGGATACAAGAAAAAGTGAATTCAATTCGGCCATTAAGGATTTATTTAGGGTCATTTTTCATATAGTTCAGATTTATATCCTCCACTTATCTATACTTCTAGATAAATACTGAAGCCTATCATAGGAACCAAGTCAAACTTTTCTTATTTAGATGTTACGAATTTGGCTGGGAAAAGGATAATTAAACCTTTGTTAATTTGATTAACAAATCAAATTTTATATTTTACATTCATAAACCACAACCACACAAATGAGCAAACTGAAGTTCCTTATTATGCATGTGTCTCATGAGCTGACTTTTTTGTTACAATCAACTATTACTACAAAACCCCATCAATTATTTATCTGTATATGTAGTTCTTCATATGATTATTAATACATACACATGGACACCAGCCAGAGCATAGAAAAACTTCAAAGAAATAGTGCAAGATTGAAAGATGTGGCCCACAGAATCGCCCACAGACCTGGCCCACAGAATCGCCAAGAGTCGGAGTCGGAGATGACGGATAACATCATCTTCATATATGCATAGGTTATGGATCTGCATAGAACTACATAGAACATATGGAATCTTCTAACGCTAGATGGCCTGCGCTTCATGCAGTGAAGAACAGCTTCCACTGGACCTCTTTAGTTCCAGAGATCAACGCAGTGCATCAGAAGGAATGAAGTCACTTGACACCACTTGATCAAGAAGGTAGGAGAGCAGATTGCAAGTTCGCAGAAAACTATTCGAAGAAGCGCAGTTTAACAAAGTCTTCTTCATAGTTTCTCAGACACACATGTATGTGTATAAGTAGTAAACTTATAACATGGAAAAAAGTCATAAGATAGTCAAGATTTTATGATACCCGTCCAAATGTTGCATCTCTCTGAATGCTGAATGAAGGCAGAAGGATGAACACGTGGCTATCTGACAGAATTCCAGTAAGGGAATCCCTGAGAAGACAAACTGCCAATGTGGCCATTCCTGTTTTAAAACAATACAAATCAGAAGCCAGCCTTCAACAAAACTTCATGGTTGCATCCACCTATAAGCCCTTACACTATAAAGATGGCCTTGGAAGACAGAAATAAATGAAAGTTTCTGTAGAACAAGACCGTATAGTTATAAGTAAAAGCATGTTCAAGACAAACACTTGAGAGGCTGGGAAAAATGGAGAGGGTCTAGAGTCTTCATTGATGGGGAAAAAATAATTTTGGAAGGAAAGTGGCATCCATGCAAAGAAATGTTTTGTTCATATGGAAAGTAAGAAAAGGAGGATTTATCTAAAGCAGTTCTTCCTAAATCTGAGCAAAATATTCCACACTGGGTAAAAGTAGTTTTTCTTTGGGTAACAACATTAAAAAAAAAAATCATTACCCAATCATAACAGGAACACTTCAATAAGGACTTTCTGATAAGCAGTTTCAAGTAATGAATGAAAAGTTTTGGGAAACTTTGCTCTAAAGACATATAGCTCTGGCCCTGGGAACTATTCAAGAATCTTTTCCTCTGTGACAGGAAATGGATGGTCAGGAGTTCATAGGGGTCAGCTGGCCATCGCAGGAGGGTCGTCCTGCATGTGCGGCGGAGCTGGAGGTTGGGGATGGGCCACCCCTCCCACGACAGCCAACCTGATCCTGGGTGAACCGGTTGTTAAATTATTTGAACCCCACCACTGGGTAACTATTAACACAGAAAGAAGAAAAAAAGAGGCTTCAGATGGGAACTGGTAGAGATTCCAGTGGATAGGAGAAAAGGGAAATATCCTAGTGAAGAAAAAATGAAGAAAGTTGTTTTAAATGGAAATGAAAGGCCAATCAGTTTTTCTAACTGACTGAGTGCCTAAAGTAGGCGGACTGATCTGATACAGATAGTCCTTGAGTTACAACCATTCATTTAGTGAACGTTTGACGTTCCAATGGCAAGTTGTAAGTGAAAAAAATGACTTATGACCAGTTTTTGCTTGATGGATCCCCATGGTCACATGATCAAAATTTGGGCACTTGGCAACTGGCATGCAGTTATGACACTTGCACTGTCCCAGGGTCCTGTGATCCCCATTTGTGACCTCCCCAGCTGGCTTCTGAAAAGTAAAGTCAATGGGAAGAAACCAAATTCGCTTAATAATCGCATGTTTCAGTTAACAGCTGCAACGATTTGCTAAACAACTGTGGCAAAAAAAGGTTGTAAAACGGGACACAAATCACAACTTCCTTCTTTAGCAATGGAACTTTGGGGGTCGATTGTAGTCGTAAGACAAGGACTATCTGTTATTGTCAAATTGTTTTTCCAAATACTGGAAAGGATTTCTATTTATCTGCAGTATAATCCCTTCTATCTTATTCCTGAGCAGTTATAGAACTATATTCTCCAAGCTGTAGGATCAAGCTGTATTCTCCAAGCTGAAGGAATCAAGATGGGATCGAAGATTTGTCCAGATGAATTGGGGAGATAGAACTACTCTTGATAGGAGAGAATAAAGCATAGAATGGACCATGTGCGCTGAGGTCCTCAAGAGATGTGAGAAAGAACCGAGGCCATTGAGATGCCAAAGAATGAAATCCCTTCAATGTTCACATGAAGACATGGTCACCAGGAAAACTGATTAATATAGATATAGTAGAGGTGCTTGATCCCTGTCAAAGGATTGTGTGATGATGTCAAAGAAGACAAAATGGAGGCGTTTATTGGAGCCTCGCCAAGCTGCATCATGTGCATGGAGAACAGAGCTTCTAAAAAATAACTCTGTAAATATCATCCAAAGGGAACAAGAAAGGGGAAACTTGATTAACCGAGACATGAGAGCAGCTATGAAAGTTGTTCTAGTTTCAAGTAGGATAGTGTATATATGTCTTCCATAAATAAATAACCACTAAGGAAGAAAAGGATCCTCTGTGGAAAGATTAAATGCCTGCGAACTCCATAGAATAAATAAACTGCCTCCATAACTGCCTCGTGAAGATCTACAGTGATTTTTAAATCATAGTTCCCAATGCAATCCTGTTGGAACGAATGTCTAGTGTCAAGATGAATATAATGATAAACCATAATTACACTAAAGCTTGATTTCGACTTGTCCACAACTGCACATAGACGTCAACACATACCTATGCAGCGAAGGGTTTGATGGGTAAGCATAGGCTGCAATGGTTGCAGATAGGTCGATGTGCATACCTCCCAAATATCAACTATGTATTGTGTGGGGATACACATCCGATACAGGGGTGGTATTCACTTACCTTTTTTTTTTTAAATTTGATTTATATGCCGCCCTTCTCCGGAGACTCAGGGCGGCTTACAATGCGTTAAGCAATAGCCTTCATACTTTTGTATATTTATACAAAGTCAGCTTATTGCCCCCACAAATTGGGTCCTCACTTTACCTACCTTAGAAAGGATGGATGGCTAAGTCAACCTTGAGCCTGGTGAGATTCGAACTTACAGTAATTGCAGACAGATGATGTTAATCACAATGCTTTTAGTCTGCTGAGCCACCAGGCCCTTTGCTACCGGTTTGCAAATGTGAGTGCGCCACCTCTGCTTCGCTCACACACACTACCTCCGTGCATACGCAGGGCCTTCTGCGCATGCGCGGAGTGTCAAAAACAGGATGTGATTACATCCGGGCGGATAGGTGGAGCCTCCGGCAGCTGCTGCTACCAGTTCTCCCGATCTGGATAGAACCGGCTGAATACCACCACTGATCCCATATGCTTGTTCCGACTTTCTATTGGGAGGCGAGTGGAAGGCAAGGTACATGCAAGCAATGTTAACATTCGCAGAAGTATAAATGCAAGAGCTATGCAACCATCTTTGAACGACAAATGCATATGTTCCCTGATTTGTTAGACACACAAGTCTAACCCAAGCTTAAGCCATAAATAGGAGGAGGTGGAGAGGGTTGGTAGTTTTAAATTTCTGGGCATTTATATCTCGGAGGACCTCTCGTGGACTATGAATGCTAACATGCTTGTGAAGAAGGCACAGAAGAGGCTGTACTTCCTGAGAATGCTCAGGAAGATAAATCTATCTCAGCATCTACTTCTGTCCTACTATCGCAGCACCACTGAGAGTGTCCTGACATACGGCATTCTTGCATGGTATAGGAGCAGCTCTGTAGCGGACATAAAAACTCTACAGAGAATTATTAAAACTGCCCAGAATATCATCGGACTCCAGCTACCAGCCCTGGATGACATCTTCGCATCTCGCTGTTTGAGGAAGTTGCACAACATTCTCAGAGACTCTTCCCATCCTGCTTACAATCTTTTTGGACTGTTGCCTTCTGGCAGAAGATACAGAACAATTAAAACTCGGACCACATGTTTTCTGAATAGTTTTTATCCCAGAGCTATAATTGCACTCAACGATGAACTAAAGGGCCACAATCAGAGAGCTGTTGGACAGCATTACTTGGTCTGTTGTGTGGATGTTTGGGTGGTTTAGGGGTGGGAAATTTGTGGTGGGTGTGGGTGTGTTTGGGGATTGTCATGTGTGTTGGGCTTGGTCTCTGGGTGTTAAGTGAATTTCATTGTATGAGTATACTGTGTATATACGTACAATAACAATAAACTTTATACTTAAATAGAAGGCAGATTTTGCCTGTGACAAGGAAAACGCAAGGAAGAAGTTGTATCTATAGATGTTCAAATTCTCTAAGGCACCATTCTAATACTGAGAATGTGAGGAAGTGTTTCTTTGCTAGATCAATATTTAACCCCCTACCCCCCCTTTTTCTTTTTTTTTTAAAAAAGAAAAAAATACCTTGTCCTTCTGGAGTTTCACCAAAGGGATTCACCTCCACCTGAGTGGCATCAATTTGTAGGAAAAGACTGTATAGCTTCTTTATTTGATCTGCTGCCTGAAGTTGAAAACATAATGCATAATAACATAAACAGAAAATCATAGGAAGAGGGTAAAGAAAAAGAAAATAATCCTAACACACCATTAAACCTATTTCTATTTTCTCCATTGGTACGAGAGGTTAAAATGTTAACATGCTTTTATTAAGTGGAAATGCTTTATATTGTCTTCAAATTGATGGCTGATGCCTTAGCCTCTTCCTCCCTCAAGTAAAAAAAAAAAAAAAGATTGCTGGTTCAAAACATTGTCAAATATTGCATAAAGATTCCCTCTTCACAGTGCACTAAATAGGGCCTTGCAGGAAGTAAGAACAGCATCATTAATTCAAACAAACTTAATTTAAGCACAATGAACCAAGTTTGAGAGTTCATAATGAATACATTATGCTGATATGGAAGTTAAAGTGATTACCTTAATGAGACTAAATTCAGAAACTGTGAAGCAATATGCAGCTGACAAATGTAGATTAGTTGCTGAATTTGTTTAGAAAATACTTAAACCCGCCTTTCCTACATCAAAATGTGACTTCTGCTACAGAAACAACAGTTGAAAAATTGGGTTATTTGCTCTTAAAACCTGGGTTAATTAATTGTGCTTAATTTCATTGATGCGTGACCAGGATTAAACTTCCCTGAGTAACTTTCTGTCTGTATTATCTTTCTTTTCCCTCATCAAATAGATGGCATAATTAAAAATGTTCCACAAATAAGCTAACAACAAAAGTAACAAATAGTTAATACATATAGCAGAGGTGGCCAATCATCCCCCAAAATCAGAATTGTGCTCCCCCCACACCAGCCCACAACAAATCACTCCAACACTGCATCAAAAAAGTTTGAAACTTTAGTATACTTCTTGTGAAGAAGAAACTAATACACTTCTTATGAATTAGTGATTTATTTTTCCTCGCTGCTGAAAGCTCTTCCTTTATTTCTTCTCCTGACTCCTGAAAATTTATTGATGCTTCTTTCTTTTCCTATTTGACCTTTAAAGCAACTTTGTGATGTAAGGTTAATCTGATGGAAAGTGATAAACCCAGCGAGGAAAAATTTACACCTGAGTTACTTTTCACCCAAAACAATGAGGCTAAATACATCATTGGTTTACTAGTCACCAATGATGTCATGGACATTAACCAATAGATTCCCAGGATTTGTACTAAGGGATATTTCTTACCAATTTCAGAAGAAGCCTGAGAGATGCAAAATCATCTTCAGGGCTAGAAATGTATAGGGTTTTTTTGTTTTTTTTTTTGCATACAGGTTTGTTGACTTCACAGGAGGGGCAGTACCATTTCTTTCTAAAGTTTGAGTGGAGCTTCCACAGCAGTCTCTCCAAAACTTTCCATCAACCTTTGTAATTGTTGATGTGGTAAAGGGAGGATATTTAAAATAATATCCTAATAATTATTTTAAAAATGGAGATTTAAATTTAGTTTTGTTTTCCTTTTTATGGTGGGGGAGCATAAGCAACAAGAGAGAGAGAGAGAAAGATGATTGATAGATGATAGATAGACAGAATGGTCAGACAGACAGATACATAGATGACAGACAGACAGACTGACAGATAGCTTTGATTCAAAGGAGATTGAGGATCTCTGGTTTAAGACTTTCCATAACAAAACAAAAAACAAAACAAAACAAAACACAAAAGACTAACTTGCCTCTCTAAGACATAGCTTCTATTTAGTGCAAGGCTATTTTTGAGTGGAATCTTTAACTAGATCTGAAAGGAGTGGTAAGCCAACAGCAGACACATTAATGGATTTCTGAGGTTTCCCGTTTTGATTTTCCATGACAAACCAAAGCAATGCTCATTTGCTTTGCTATGCATTCAGGTCATTTTTGGAAATTAAAATGGCAATTACAGTTAGCTCCATGATGATGAAAATGGTGGCTCTTTGGAGCAATGAACTGTAAAAAAAAGAGGACTAAGAGGCAAGGTCAGCAGTAGGACAGGCCAGAATAATTGCTGAGATCAGGACATTATTATTGTTATTCCACAATTTAAGTCATTCCAGTGGAATTTATTATTTTCACTAGTATGAGCAATTTTATGCATGTACAAATGTGCAGACTTCAGCTGTCAGCTTTTTTTCAGAATACATTTAATCTGAATTAACAATTCCACTTAACATGTAACATAAAGCCTAGTGCTATGTATTTGAATCTGATATAGTTACCATAAAGTAAACTTAAAGTGCATTTCTCCATACTGATGCTTGAAAAGAAATTCAATAATCATGCATTATTTTAGAAGATTGTTAAATAACTATCCTCACCAAAGAGACAACTAAAAGGCTATCAAGCATTATGAAAATTTATCCACAGCTTGTTAGACATTAGATTTTAACCATAGTACCACAATTCTTCTAGTATCTACCTACTGGGGAATATAAATGATTATCGTAAGACCAAATTAAATAGACCTTTGATTACACTGATGTAGCCATTATGTTTCTATGCTTCAGTAAATCACACTGCAAAGGTTATAGCACATGGGAAGAAATGTATTAGATGTTGTTTTGTTAAGCAGTTCATGCATTGTGCTAATAATGACATGAAAAGCTAAAAAGATTTAATAATAATTCTCTCTCATTAATGATACTGCTAAAACTTCAAATGGGTGTTAATCATCTTAATGTTTATGCATTTGTTAATTGCACAGTTGGGATGGAAATTAATTAAAAGTGGTATATTAAAAATTCAAAGGTTTTATAAAAGTGGCATTTTGATGATATGGGAAAGTTTGTAGAAAAACAATTTATCATCTCTCTCTTCCTAGAGCAGTAAAAAAAGATCAAGCTTGTTGCAAAATGTGAGTTGGGTGGTCATATAAATGTGTTTAATAAATAAACGTGTGGGAGTTGGGTGGTCATATAAATGTGTTTAATAAATAAAAATAGATAAACTCAAAAAGATAGTGACTTGCACAGGTTTCAAATGCTGAGAATAAATCTTAAAGCAGTAAAATGTAGACAGAAAATCTAAATTTGCTTTTTTTTATTCATGTGACCATTTGCATCACTAGATGAACATGAATGGAAAGGAATTCAAGTTAGATAAAAAAATAACTATAGAAAGCCCTACTACAAAAAATAGTAATGTTACTCATATGAGTATTTTTAATGTAAGCATTTTTTATTGAGTTCTAGAGTATTATAAAATACAAATCACATGAGTATTTTTAATATAAGCATTTTTTATTGAGTTCTGGAGTATTATAAAATACAAATCATATGAATAGTTTTAAATGGGTATCAAAACTTTCACAGGATGTAAAAGGTTACTAGTAAAATGGGCTTATATTAATTCAAGTAAAAGAGGCAAATGTGTCTCTCAGCATAAATTACTAGGAATGTAACTACATCAGAATAGTATTCTGTTCCAGTGATTTCCGCTGGTACCTGCTTGGCCATTATGGGAACAAGATGCTGATTTAGACAACACTTTGATTGTACAGAGTAGCAAAAAGATTAACAGTCCATTCAACCGCCAATAGGGTCAAGCAGTGTTTTTAATACTGCCTATAACTTTTCAGAATGAATTTCTTTAACTGGAAGGAACGTAACATTAAGGAACGTAAGATTTTCTTTAGCCTTCAGCCCACAATCAGGTGTCATCATACGATAATACATTCGATACAAGTGAATTGAAAACCCCTGATATTGCATTAATATTGCACTATACAGTAGAATTCAATAGAGTTACTGCTCTGGGATAGAAGCTGTTTTTCAGCCTATTTGTCCTTGATTTTATTATCCTGTACTGTCTGTTAGATGGTTAAAGTTCAAAAAAAAGGGTGGCCAGGATGAGATGGATCTTTAAGAATATTTTGAACTTTCTTAAGGCAGCAGGAGCTATAAACTCTTCTAAAGAGGGGAGAGGGCAACCAATGATCCTCTGGGCAATGACATTGACCCTCTGGAGTGCTGTCCTATCTGTCACGGTGCAACTGGCAAACCATACATAGGTGCAGTAAGTTAAAATACTCTCTATGGTGCAGCAGTAGAAGATCACCAGCAGTTTTTCATTCCGTTGTTGTTTCCTGAGAAGACTCAGGTAGTATAATCTCTGTTGGGCCCTTTGGACCAGTTCTGCAATGTGAGCACCCCAGGTCAGGTCCTCTTTTATGATAACACCCAGAAACTTAAAACTGACCCTTTGCTCCACTCAGTCTCCATTGATAAGCAAGGGCTGGATGTCTGATCTATTCCTTCTATAGTCCACTATAAGCTCCTTGGTCTTATTGGTGTTAAAGACCAAATTTTTGTCTTCACACCACGAAAGCAACCAATCCACCTCATCTCGATAGGCAGACTCATCCCCCTCCGGAGATGAATCCCACCACTGTTGTATCATCTGCAAATTTAATAATAGTATGACTGGCGCGAGTGGGAATTATTATGTTGAATGCTAGTGCTACTTTAGACAATATAGCTCCTTCTGATGACCAACTGGTATTTGGGGTTGTGGCAGGGGTGAAATCTACTTACCTTCCCTAGTGGTTCAGAAGTATGCGCGCCATCATCATGTCCAATTTTAGACCCTCCGCATGCACAGAGGGTCAAAAACAGATTACTTCCTGATTAAAACCAGGAAGTAACAACGTCTGGGCAGGTGGGTGGAGCCTCGCGCTGCTGCTGCTACTGGTTTGCTCAACCATGCACCGCCACTGCTACCGGTTCACCCAAACCGGAGCGAATGGGTAGAATTTCAACCCTGGGTTGTGGACATCTTTCTCTTGAAGTTTCATACCATAGCATGAGCCAGATGATTAGGAAGTGATGTGAAGTTTTTTTTTAATTGAACTTTTGGATTAAGAAGGAAAAGTTAACTGAATTTTTGTATTAAGGAGGACTTAATCAGACCATTCCTAACTAGATCCACTCCTTTCTGTACATGGAAACAAATTGGTTCCATTTCATGCTCACAAAGCACTTCCAAGGTTCTGGAAAGGTCCTTTTGGAAATGTCAACAGGCACTTTAAAAAAGCCATCTGTAAAACCAGCAAGCATTTCCAATATACAGTGAAAAATCTATTTCCCACAACCAAGGAAGAAAAAGAATTAAGGTCCAAGAATAGATTATTGGAATTTAATTGATGGTTGCTGTTGTTGCTACCATTAATTGATAGCATATTTTATTTTTCCTGAATGCTTAGAATGTATAACAAGTTATTATAATGAAACAAAGACCATCGATGCCCCGAATACAACCCATATGCAACCAGAAAGATCCTAAAGTTGGATTGAGCAAAATGATTCACTGACATCTCAGCGTAGTTAAAAGCTAATTCCTGAAAATGTTACCTGCTGCTGCAAAGGCCCTTTGAATCCCAAATTTTCTGCCAGCCGTACTGCTTGAGCATCCTTTACCCCTTCAAAAATATCTATTTCTTCCTGTTACAATAAAGGGCATAAACAAAAATATTCAGCTGGGAAAGAAATGTGTAATTTCAATGGTTAAAAAAAAATACTTAACATATTCTGCAAATTAGCAATTAAAATTTGGCAAGTTGCCAAAATCCCAAGAATGCAGCTACAGGGTATGTTATAATTACCACACTCTCCATGAAAAAAAAAAGAGTCCCTCTGAAAATCATGAAATTCTTCAGGGTGGCATGCTGACAAGGCAATCTGACACCAGTTTTCACTTTTAATTACTGTACAGATGGCATTGATGAATACATATTCTGTTAATTTTTACGACCAATTTAGACACGGAACCAAAGCAATGTTGTTAATGCCCAACAATATTCTTCTTCATTTTTCAATTCAAATATGCATTATTATTGTTGTTGCTGCTGCTGTTTACAGAATGTTATGTGCTCACAAAATTATAGACCAGTTCCAGGTTAAGCTTTGTTACTGTCTCATTAAGCATTCTTTCATGTAATAGCCATTCCCCACTCCTATAATTTGAAATAATAGCAGACTGTCATGTGAAAAGAAAAGGAATTTTGAGTAAATATAATGTTTACTTGCTGAGTGAATAGGAGGCTGATTTATAAATCAATAGAATCACATACTTTTGCTATTGTTTTTCTATACCACTTCAGGCTGGATACGATATTTAAAGTGTTTTATTGTAATGTTTATGTAGTGATTATTGGAAGTGGAGCTTTGAGAACTGTATGCCGATTAGTGTACATTTAAAAGTGACAATAAAGTTATTCTAAGTCAGTTCTAAAGTACTGTATCTCTACCACTCTAAACAGAAAAATTAAGGTCCTTGATATCACAAATATCTTTATGGGGATGAAATTAAATAATCTATATTTTCTTTATAGTGGTACAGTCTATGATGAACTTTTATTCCCGGACTTTATAAACTGGCTCTTCATATTTTAAAGGGTGCTTGTTGAGACTACAAATTTAAGTCCATTTATCTGGCTATAATTCCCATTATATACAATTAGACTTTCTTCAACAGCATGTAAGAACTGTACCGCAAAAAAAAAAAAAAAAGAATAAACTAAGCAAGTTAGTATTTATTAGCTTACAGAATTTACTAATTCTGTCAGCTAATTTACTAATGAGCAAAAGTTATTTACAACTGCTATAAACTCTTCCAAAGTTATGTCCCATTTTATACTACATTCAGACACTTTCTATCTACATGTAGTAAAATAACACTGAAAATGCTCACATTCCATTTTGCTATAAATGTAAACTGTGAATAAATATGTGAACCTATCATTTTTTTTAAAGATCTGCTAGTCCATAAGTTGGGTTGCCACCACACCTCCCTCTAACAATGAATGAACATCCCGAGAGTTGGCACGCAGCGAAGAGGGGGCTGAGGGTTTTTTTAAAATTGTCATTAGCTAATCTTTTAGGGGTTTTTTTTGGGGGGGGGGGGGGGGGTTGGGCGAGGGAGAGGGGGGGAGGGGGAGAGCCAGGCCCGGCACAGGGTCGTGTGAGGGGAGGTGCGGAGCGGGGAGTGGAGGGGGTTAGTGTTGGTATGGAGAAGGGCGATTCCATCAGGACTGTCGGTGGGAGGGGCAGATATGGTGGGAGCAGGGGGCCATATCGTGTTGTGGGGGCATATGTCCGCTGTCTTCAAGCGGTGACGTACTCCGGCCCCCAATGCTCACCTCGTTCCCTGGGTTGTTCAGAGTCTTAGAGCCCTGGTCTTAGACTGATGTTGTGCAATGCCAGGTCCATGGTCAACAAAGCCCCCCTCATTTGTGAGCTGATTCAGGAGGGGGGAGCGGACCTGGCAGGTATTAGAGACCTGGTTGGGCCAGGAGGGGGGGTCCCTCTGGTTGAGATGTGCCCACCGGGTTTCTGCGCATTTCATCAGCCGAGGGCACAGGGTAGGGGTGGGCGAGTGGCGGTTATTGTAAAGGAAGGTCTCGATCCTAGGGAGGCCACTGTACCTCAGATAGCCGGATGTGAGTCTCTTCTTGTGAAGTGGGTCCATGGGATGCAGGTGGGCTTGCTGATTGCGTACCTGGCTCCCTGCTGCGTGGCAGTGGCCCTGCCCGAGCTCCTCCACATCATAGCTGGGATGACGGTTGACACCTCCAGGCTTTTGGTCATGGGGGATTTCAACCTGCCGTCCATCGGTGAAACGTCGGAGGTGGCTCGGGAGTTCATGGCTTCCATGACAGCCATGGACCTGACCCAGTTAATTCATGGCCCTATTCATACAGGAGGACACACTCTGGACTTGGTTTTTGTCTCTGGTCAGTGGTTGAATGGCCTAGATACAGGGGATATAGTCATTGAACCCTTGTCATGGTCAGACCATTCTCTCCTTAGACTTGACTTCCTGACCGCTACACCCTGCCGCAGGGAGGCGGAACCGACCAGGTGGTTCTGCCCCAGGCGCCTGATGGATCCTGATAGGTTCCAAATGGAGCTTGGGCCATTCCCTGAGACTCTGGCTCACGATTTGTTGGAAGACCTGGTGGCTGCCTGGGATAGAGCGGCTGCTGGTGCTTTAGATCGGGTTGTGCCTTTGCGGCCTCTGATCCGGCGCCGAATTGGCCCAGCTCCTTGGTTCTCCGAGGAGCTGAGGGAGATGAAGCGCTGGAAAAGACGCCTAAAGAGTAGTTGGAGAGCTAGTCGTTCTGGATTTGACCGAGCACTAGTGAGGTCTTATATCAAGACCTACTTAGTGGCGATAAAAGCGGGGAAGTGTAACTACTTTTCTGCCCTTATCGCATCGGCAGATAATCGCCCAGCCGCCCTGTTTAGGGTGACCCGCTCCCTTCTCCATCTGGGCGTGCAGGAAGACCCCTTGCAAGGGCATGCTGAGGATTTTGCGTGTTATCTGCACGATAAAATCACTCAAATTCGGGAGGGCTTGGACTCTGACTGGGTGGGTTCAGGCGGGGTGTCTGAGGCGGGTCTTGAGACTGCTATCTGGGAGGAGTTTGATCCTGTGACTCCTGAGGACGTGGACAGGATGCTGGGGAGGTTGGGCGCAACCACATGTTTATTGGACCCGGGTCCCTCCTGGCTGGTGCTGGCTACCCGGGAAGTTACATGAGGCTGGCTCCAGAGGATTATAAACGTTTCTCTGAGTGAGGGCTTCTTGCCTCCTGCCTTGAAAGAGGCGGTGGTGAGGCCCCTCCTCAAGAAGCCTTCTCTGGAGCCGGCTGTTTTGGCAAATTATCGTCCTGTCTCCAACCTTCGCTTTGTGGCGAAGGTTGTCGAGAGTGTGGTGGCGCGACAGTTCCCACAGTACCTGGATGAAACCATCTATCTGGATCCGTTCCAGTCCGGCTTCAGGCCTGGGTACAGCATGGAAACGGCATTGGTCGCGTTGGTCGATGATTTCTGGAGGGCTCGGGACAGGGGTTGTTCCTCTCTCCTGGTCATGTTAGATCTCTCAGCGGCTTTTGATACCATCGACCATGGTATCATGCTGCGCCGGCTGGAGGGGTTGGGAGTGGGAGGCTCTGTTCTACGGTGGTTCTCCTCTTATCTCTCCAACCGGTCGCAGTCTGTGTTGGCTGGGGGGCAGAGGTCGACCTCAAGGCACCTTGTTTGTGGGGTGCCGCAAGGGTCATTCCTCTCGCCTCTCCTGTTCAACATTTATGTGAAGCCACTGGGTGAGATCATCCATGGATTTGGGGTGCGGTGCCATCTGTACGCTGATGACACTCAGCTGTACATCTCCACCCCAGACCACCCCAATGATGGCCTTCAAGTGATGTCCCAGTGTCTGGAGGCCGTGCGGTTCTGGATGGGGAGGAAAAGGCTCCGACTCAACCCCTCCAAGACCGAGTGGCTGTGGCTGCCGGCATCCCGATATAGCCAGCTGGTGCCATCGCTGGCTATTGGGGACGAGTCATTGGCCCCCACGGAGAGGGCTCGTAACTTGGGCATCCTCCTGGATACAGGGCTGTCTTTAGAAGAGCATATGACGGCCATGGCCAGGGGGGCTTTCTATCAAGTTCGCCTGATACGCCAGTTGCGTCCCTTTCTGGATTGGGACTCCTTATGCACGGTCACTCACGCCCTCGTCACCTCTCGCCTGGACTACTGCAATGCTCTCTACATGGGGCTCCCCTTGAGGAGCACCTGGAGGCTCCAGCTGGTCCAGAATGCAGCCGCGCGGGTTATTATGGGGGCGACATGGCGCTCCCATGTAACACCTCTTCTGCGCGAGCTGCACTGGTTCCCGGTGGTCTTCCGGGTGCGCTTCAAGGTATTGGTTCTCATCTTTAAAGCGCTCCATGGCTTAGGGCCCGGATATTTACGAGACCACCTTCTGCCACCGATAACCTCCCACCGGCCAATCCGCTCCCACAGAGAGGGTCTCCTCAGGGTGCCGTCGGCCAAGCAATGTCGACTGATGACCCCCAGGGGGACAGCCTTCTCTGTGGGGGCACCCGCCCTCTGGAACGAGCTACCCACAGGAATACAACTGATCCCGGACCTCCGTACTTTCCGTCGAGCTTTGAAGACCTTTCTATTTCAGCAAGCCGGGCTGGCTTAAAATTTTAATGGGTTATTTATGGGCAAAGGGTTTTAAATTTTGGGAAGCCAATTTGATTTAATTCTGTTTTAATTCATCTTAATTTTTATATTGTATGTATTTTAATCTTGGCTGTTCACCGCCCTGAGTCCTTCGGGAGAAGGGCGGTATACAAATTTAATAAACCTAACCTAACCTAACCTAACACTGAAAATGATGCAATTAAATTTTGGAAAAGATGGATTTATTCTAACAATGTAACTAAAAGGTTTTTCACACTTCCCCTGGACTCCATCTGCAGCTCCCCGAGGGAGGGACATCTCACAGTTTGGGAACCCCTGCTGTAAGTGGTAGCAATATCTCTACAAAGTACGAACTTTTAATGGGAGATAAAGATGAATAGATTAATAGAGCGTGCGAATGTCTGTGCAAGCTCTGGCATATGAGAATGATTAATCATTGTTCAAATAATGTAAACTATGTACCTGGAAGCGAAGGCAGTCCTTTAATTCAGCCCCAAAAAATTTGTTGCTAAGCTTGACAGTTGTTAAGTGAGTTTTGCCCCATTTTATGACTTTCCTTGCCACAGTTGTTATTAACATAGTTGTTAAGGAATCTGGCTTCCCCATTGATTGTGGTTGTCAGAAGGTCGCAAAAGGTGATCACATGACCTCAAGCACTGCAACCGTCATAAATATGAGATAGTTGGCAAGCATCTGAATTTTGATCATGTGACCATGAAGATACTGCAATGGTTGCAAATATGACTAATAGTCATACATCACTTTTTTCAGTGTCATTGTAACTTCAAACTGTTACTAAATTAACTGTTATAAATTGAGGACCACTGTATGTAATTCAAGTAATCTGTGTGATGTCATGATGCACAAAGGTTATTGATAATCACATTAGTTTTTGTTCGTATAAAATATTTACCAAAACTTGCATGAATTTATTTATTATTTTATTCATTAGATTTGTGTGCTGCCCATCTCATCTTGAGAGGACTTTGGACTGCTTACAAACATTAAAATCAAATGTTAAAAATTATTAGCTCCCCTTCTGGATATATCTATATAAATGCATATAGAAAATCTGGAACATTTTATGAATCCTTTACAGATACCATATTAGATCTTCAGTAAATAGTCTCATCAACCCATATTTGATTATTTATTCAAAGAGAATATAGCAGTGCAGTTTGCGTGAACACGAACAATTTTAAACTAAAATGTACCTTGAAAATAAGTTCTGGAGTTTTTGCAGCTACTTCTTCTATATCAACCCCACCTTGTGGGCTACCAACAAGAACAGGTCCATTGCAAGCTCGATCCATTAATATTGCAAAATATGTCTCTCTGGAAATGTTTAGTGCTTCTGCCACCATAACCTAAAAAATATAATTTGAGAATATATTATTAGTATACCTTGGCTAACAAGATCCAACACTCTTTACATTTTATTGGCTGTATAAGAAATAAAGTCTTCCAAATGAGGGACAGAATCTAGCATATGTAGTAACTGAATGCCAGAGATTAACCCACATTCTGGAATCCTTCAGTGATGTGTTATAAAATCAATTATTTTATTAAAATGTAGGTAACTTATTATGTTATCATCATACATTGTAGTATACTTTTCCATTTCAACTTATGGCAATCTGTGAGAGATGGTATCTATGGGCAGGGGTTGGTGTGATGGACTACATTCAGTTTTAGTCGCCATGATGTAAAAAAGATGTGGAGACTCTAGAAAGAGTGCAGAGAAGAGCAACAAAGATGATTAGAGGACTGGAGGCTAAAACATATGAAGAATGGTTGCAGGAACTGGGTATGTCTAACTTAATGAAGAGAAGGACTAGGGGAGACATGATAGCAGTGTTCCAATATCTCAGGGGCTGCCACAAAGAAGAGGGAGTCAAGCTATTCTCCACAGCACCTGAAGGCAGGACAAGAAGCAACGGGTGGAAACTAATCAAGGAGAGAAGCAACCTAGAACTAAGGAGAAATTTCTTGACAGTTAGAACAATTAATCAGTGGAACAACTTGCCTCCAGAAGTTGTGAATGCTCCAACACTGGAAGTTTTTAAGAAGATGTTGGATAACCATTTGTCTGAAAAAACAAATGTTTTTTCTTAGGTTTCCTGCCTAAGCAGGGGGTTGGACTAAAAGACCTCCAAGGTCCCTTCCAACTCTGTTATTCTATTCTATACAGTGAAGGAACAGTTTCCCAGGAAGGAGGAAGAACATTCCAGAAAGAGGGTGAGGGAGAGAGGAGGCAGCCCAGCCCAGAGTGGATAGGAGACAGGGGAAGAGAGTAAGGATAGCCTCTATATCCTTTAGGGTGAGAGTAGTAAGAATCTAGTCTGGCAAGATTCTGTCTATTGTATGTAAGCAAATAAAGAAGTGAATACTGAATGGATAGTTCCACAATGTTCTTGGGCTTAGCCCGGCAGAATCACCCACAATACAGATTATTCCCTATGGTGAAGACAGTGGTCCAATTTTGGGAGACTAGTAGGTATAGAGCCATGGTGGCGCAGTGGTTAGAATGCAGTACTGCAAGCTACTTCTGCTGACTGTCGGCTGCCAGCAGTTTGGCAGCTCAAATCTCACCAGTTGACTCAGCCTTCCATCCTTCCAAGATTGGTAAAATGAGGACCCAGATTGTTGGGGGCAATATGCTTACGAGAGGGCCGTAAAAGCACTATGAAGCAGTATATAAGTCTAAGTGCTATTGCAATTGCTATAAGAGGCCAGTGCCCCTTAATTGCAGCAACCTCCATTAAATATGTGAAAAATAGAATCAAAATATTTTCAGCTATTCTAGGGCTGTACATTTCATGATGGAGGCAGGTTGTCTCCTTCTTCTTTAGGCCTGAGGGTCACCCTTGCAAAACAGATTAGACTAAAGCACATTCACATCTACAATAAATACAGCCCAACCATTTCACACTACATGCTCACAATATTTGCAGCACTGCTGCAATTGTTACATCTACATACATTTAGTATGTGAAAGAATTAATCTGAAATAATGCATGCCAATAATTTCAATAGTATATTAAGCAAACAACAAACATAATTCACACGCTATATTAACACTATGCAGAATTACAAATTGTGTCTTGTCTTAGTTGTTAAGATGAAGCTGCCATGCTAAGGAGAATAGGATAGCATCTTAAAGACATGGCAGTTTTAATAACCTCAGTAAGATATTCATAACATGGGATAGTCTTCCTTATTCAGCCTTCTGATAGTAATAGATATTAAATGATACCTTTATTGCAAGATTATGAATTCCATATTATCTATCCTAGGGACGGATGGATGGGCAAAATGTTTTGTGCGCAGAGAGAGAAAAGATAAACATGGAGAAAATAAAATACTCATAGAATAGTGACAGTAAACTGAGGTGCAGTGGTTAGAGTGCAGTACTGGAGGCTACTTCTGCTGATCACTGGCTGCCTGCAATTAGACACTTCAAATCTCACACTTCAAGCTCAAGGTTGACTCAGCCTTCCATTCTTCAGAGGTGGATAAAATGAGGACCCAGATTGTTGGGGGCAATATGCTGACTCTGTAAACAGCTTAAAATGGGCTCCATGAGGCTGTATATAAATCTAAGTGCTATTGCTATAAAGAAACATGACTACAGAAAGGGAAAGGAAGAGATGGGTGGGAAAAATAGGTTATGCTCTGCTTGAAGACATGGCAGCAGTAGCAGCAAACAAAAAAAAGATGCTGGACCACACTTAACTGAAACATGAGAAAAGTGATAGGTAGTTTGATGTAGTGGTCAAGGCATCAGGCTAGAAACTATGGATTCTAGTTCCTTTCTTAGGCTCAAAATGAGATGGGTGACCTTGGGTCAGTGACTCTCAGCCCTAGGAAGAAGGCAATGTCAAATGTCTATGAAGATTCTCAGTCATCCAGGTCATGGTTGTCCCAAAGGTGCTTTTTCAAGAGGCAAGTGGACTTTCTGGTTTTTCTTTGAAGAAGTTTTGCTTCTCACCCAAGAAGCTTCTTCAACTCTGACTGGATGAGGGGAATGGTTGTTTTTTTGTTTTTTTAACTATGGGGCCAAACACACATATATATTTTAAACTGTATTTTAATGTTTGTATTTATGTTTTTACTTTGGCTGTGCACCACCCTGAGTCCTTCGGGAGAAGGGCGGTATATAAATCTGATAATAAATAAATAAATAAATAAATAAATAAATAAATAAATAAATAAATAAATAATAAATAAATAAAATAAAATAAAATAAAATAAAATAAATGGAAGGATTTATACTCCTTGCAGACAGCTGGTCATTTGCATTCTTTTAGCGGGTCGTTAAGGTCACTTGGAGGCTTATCTGTGTCATCAGGGTCACCTGAGTGGTACAAATTGGTGTGGAGCGAAACGTCTTCAAACAAAAATCAGACAGTCCAGTTGCCTCTTGAAAAAAAGCACCTTTGAGACAAGGCAATGGCAAGCCACTTCTGAAAAAACCTTGTCGATTAAAATGGACAAACTTGTCCAGGCAGTTGCCAGGAAGCAAGACAAATTGGAAAGGCACATACATAAACAAAAAAATCGGAGACTTTTGGTGGTAGTGGTAGGCAAGTATGGCCTCTTAGGTTGACTTGCATTTGAATTAAGAGGCAGCAGCAGCAACAGAAAGACAGTGCTGATATTACTAGTTTAAAAAGCCTCGCCTTCCTCACAAGACTATCCAGAATGTATCCAAAATTTGGAACTAGAGGTTCCAGATTTCAGCTGGAAATCCACATCTGTTTGGAATATGTCTGCCCAAATCCCAAGGCACAATGTACCCCAAACAAGGTGTGGTTTTCATTTCATGTCCACCTCTAACCCGTATCATCTGGTAAAGCAATAATGACATTTAATATGAAATTCACTTTTCATTTAAAAAGAGGAAAGTGTTTCTCTGGTCCAGATTAAAAATATTGAGTGTTCCTGATGAAGACCTGGAATTTCCAGAAAAGTTTCGTGTGCTTCCATCCAATGCTGATGTATTTTTGCAGAAGTGGTGAATACCTGTAGCTCAGGTGTAGGATGAGGGGGAAGGCTCATTCTCTGAGCTTGTGGGTTGATGTATTTCTTGTGCTTGGTTATCTCATTTATCCTTCCTTCCTTCCTTCCTTCCTTCCTTCCTTCCTTCCTTCCTTCCTTCCTTCCTTCCTTCCTTCCTCCCTCCCTCCCTCCCTCCCTTCCTCCCTCCCTCCCTCCCTCCCATTTCTTCAGATTTACCCACAAGGAACTATAATTTGGCATTTCTTGTGACATGTGTTGGAACCATCTTTTATTTGTAATAGAATTCCATCTGGACATACAACTAAGGATACATGCACACATTCATTATAGTTCAGTAATGCAGAATTTTGTTTTGTCCAATGGAATTCCCAAGGAAGTCTAGTAGTCCAATACACTGACAGATTAACCGGCTTTTTATTCTTCTTTATCCATGGCACAGTAAACATCTGTACTTATTTCACTTTCATATCTCAGTGCGGTATCTGGGTGGTAAAGAATTGGATCTTTAGTCCACAGACACAGAAAGGACTTTCCAATACGTGCAGACAAAAAATACAGGCCATGGAGATGCAACATGGTGTTGTCTGTATGAAAGTTGAGACACGAAGTCTTCTCTATATAAAACAGGCAGTGGGATCTTCCAATATAGATCCACCAATGCTCAAGATTTACATCTGCATTTTTCTATACATACAGTATACAGATAATACTCTGGGAAACAATCCATAAACAACAAGTCAATATACATAGAGCACAGACACACACATAGAGATGTCTATAAATACTTCAATACCTAAATAAATATCCAATTCTAGAATATGTACCAAAGAAGTCTGATTCCAAGCATAAAATTATACCCGTTTAGACAAAACTTTGCAAATTTTATTTTTTTAAATGAAATTATTAATACTGCCCAAACCAGGAGGAATAAGACAAAATACTTAAATTTTAAATGAAGGGATGGAATTCACATCCTTATTATTGAAACTTCTGTAATACCTTCCATAGAATATTATTACAAGAAACTCTAATTATTTTTGTTTAAAAATCCATCCATCTAAATGAAACTTCAATAAAGTTAAATTCTTTTATTGCTTGGAGAACAAGGGCAGGTAAATCAACTGCGATATACTGAAACTGTCTTTGAAGATAACCAAGCTCTCCAAATATCACGATGCCGTAGGAGAATTTTATGTAAACCTATAAAATAGCTGCCCATGTTTGAAGGAGTGGGGGGGGGACAGGGACGAATGACTCTGTTTATTTAAGATAGACTGATCTTGCACTAACATTGTTATGTATCACTAGAGGGAAAGAAATCTATTTTCAGAAGCTCATTGGTTGATAAGGAGGCCAACTGCACCCAGGACTATAAACTAAGTGGTGGCACTTCTAACCCAACTTTCTCAAGAAGTCCTGTGATATGGAATTTCACTGGTTTATGAGAGTTCAGGACGGCTTACAATGCGTTAAATTGTTTTAAATTGGAATTTTAATTTTATATTGTCTTTCAATGAGGAACTGTGCATCTTTACCGTTGTGAGCCGGCCTGAGCTCTTGGAGATAGGGTGGCATATAAATTGCATAATAAATAAATAAATAAATAAATAAATAAATAAATAAATAAATAAATAAATAAATAAAATTAAGTATTGTACCTTATGATTCTTGATGAACATATCTTTTCTTTTATGTACACCGAGAGAATATGCACCAAGACAAATTCCTCGTGTGTCCAATCACACTTGGCCAATAAAAAATTCTATTCTATTCTATTCAAAGAACAATTCTTCCCCCTATAGATGAATCCATGCATGAGCAGTAAGATACTCACTTTGACCGAAAGTGAACTGCTTTCCCTAAACTTCTGGTAATAAAACAAACTGATTGTCCAGATTTTCTCTTTAGGTAAGAATCTGTCTAGTCCAGTGAAAGAAAAAGAGCAGTCCATATTTTAGGGAAGCGCAGATAATACTTTGAAAAATTTGCAAAATTCTGATGTGAGTCAATGAGCTTGAAACTACCTTCCATACAAATTGGAAATTGTATTTTGGAGATCAATTCTCTAATCCTGGAAACAATTCTGTTGGAGTCTGAAGATATCATTTTTTTAAACCAATGAACAAAATCAGAGGTAGTCATTCCAGCTGGCAATTTCTCTTCCTGCAAACTACAGTACAGAATTTGTTTACTTTATGGCAGCACTAATAGATTACAGGCAAGCTTTAACGCATGGGGGCCTAATCTTTTGGCTTGCCTGAGCCGCACTGAGTGAAGAGGAATTGGGCCACATATAAAATATATAATATAGTTAATGCTAACATTTTGCAATCTTGTGGGGCCGCATGCAGCCCATGGGTTGGGGATGTCTGATTTAATGTATCAATATCCTGATGTCTTTTCTCAACTATATTTAGTTATAAGTAAAAAGAGCCATCTTTTGTGTCAGTATAACCAAGGCTATTAAAGTAATGACTAGGATAAGCTGGATAGTTTAGGAAGGATGAATGTTGTTTTTAGATCTTTAAAATGTTCTTGCATTGTCCTATATTTAATTATTCCAGTGAAATCAACGAACCTTTGCATACAAGCATGGAAAACTGCAATCTGAAATAATAGTTTTAAGTCAAGAATTCAGTCATCGCAAACATTTACTAAATTATGGATAAGGCATTATTTAATTTCTGTTTTTTAAGCTCTCTCATGGATCACTATTATCTTCTATCTTCCAAAGCCAACTTTTGGTGTTTCATAGAAGACAGCTCTATAAAGGGCTGTAAATCAATGTTACCTCTCTATAAGAAGGAACAACACTCCAACCAATATCAGTTGCAGGGAAATGGAAAAGAGTGTCTCTTCATCTCTTGCTTACAAGTACCTCAAAAGTACTTGCATTGGCCCTGTGAGAAACCTATGCGACTAAGGTAAATTTTGGCCAGATGTTCTTATATTTTTACATTCTTGAGAATGCTTAACCTAATCATATTCTATGAGCACAACTGCATCTATCAAGCATTTTAAAAAATATCTACATACTTTCAATTCATCGCTATTCCAAGAAATTGCTGTTTTCAGACCAATTTAGGGAGATGGTGCTACATGTCTGTAAAAAATACACACACACAAAATCACTGCAAATTGGAACCTTCCTAGACAAGTCCTGTGTTTTCTGAACATTAGCTCCACAAGAACTAAAAAAAAATAATCCTAGATTTCCTGAGTGAGATTTTTTAACATGACTGCTCCGTAGATCAAACTGGTCACCTTATAAGGTGTACATTATGTCATTTAAGTACTTTAGAGCTTAGCAAATGCAAGTAATGATGACTTATGGAGGATAAACTCTTTCCATTCTGCAGCTAGATCACAAAAGAAAACCTAAATAGAATGTGCTTTTTGATTTGACATTTATAAGCAAAAAAAAAAAAAGTAAAATATAAAAAGTGAAGGAATATAAATAAGCAATGTGTATCCTTCATTCCCAAATGAACATTTATTAGATATGGATCTGGTGAACAATAACATACTGTAATTGGCTCAGTAGCTTCATAGTGCACCTGATAAAGGTGGGAAGGCTTTCTTACCTTCTTAACTTTAACACCACCTTTTGGAGTTTGCTTCGTTGTAAGATTATATCCAATCATCTGTTTAGCAAGCTGTCCTACCTCTTTAGGGCTACAAAAAAAGAGGAATGAATTAATAAATTACTGTATGAAAATTTTAAAAAAACTTTCAAAGAAACAATTATTTTTTTAAAAAAAGCTTGTTGCATTTACGAGACTCACTCTTTTGTTAAATGTACACCTCCTTTCAAACCGCTGCTGAACACACCTTTGCCTCTTCCTCCAGCTAAGATCTGAGCCTTCAACACAATTTCTGTTGCTTCTGTAAGAGGGGGAAAAAAATGCATTTAAGCTACAACCTGGATGAACCAATTTCATTATATGACAGGTGAATGGAAAAACTCTCCCACATATTAATGTTAAAAGAACAGCTCTTGTGTTTTAATCTAAGAGCATACACATGTGAACAATGCAATGCAACTTTAGACTGGCACTCATGGAGACAATGAATAAAATGTAAAATGGTAAAAAGCCTCAGGAGAAATAGAGGAAATTATAAACCGGTAAGCTTAACATCTGTCCCAGGAAACAATTAAAGGGAAAAAAATAACGTAGAGAAACAAACCTTGCTGAAGGAAAAATCAGCATGGAATTCACCAAGGTAAAACCTGCCTCACCTGTCTTGCAGAGTTCATTGAGAGTGTTAACAGGCACATGAATGGAGGTGACACTCCATACATGGATTTTCGCAAAGCCTTTGACAAAGATCCTCATTAAAGCTCTTGAAGAAACTCAGGAGCCGGGAACAGAGGAGCTGGCCTTTTATGGATTGCTAGCTACTGTAGTTATTATAAGGCAGAAAGAAAAGAGGAGGAAAATAAATGGGTAAATTTCTCAGCGGAGAAAATTAGGGAGTGGAATTTCTCAAGGATCTGTACCGAGACCAGTGCTTTTAAATCTGTTCATAAAATATCTTGCCTGAGGGGTAAGAAGTGAATTAGCCCTTTTAAGAAATTAAAATTCTACTGAGTACTGACACTGTGTATTCTTCATATCTCCCCTTGAAACCAGCAGGAGGAGTGAGCTAGCCAAGTCTGTATATAATAGAAGTTTAAATACAAGTTCAAACCATTCAGCCTGATGCGAGATCCGAAAGGAATCTGATTTACATAGATGAATGGTTAACCAAATGGCAAGCACAATTAATTTTAGCAATGTAATGCAATTTAAGTAATGCAAGTGGAGGAGGAAGAAGGCTAATTTTAGATTCACATTTATGGAATTGGAACCATCTATAACTAACCAGGAACAAGACCTTATTAGATAGCTGGACAAAGATGCCAGCTCATCTGTAGCAGCTCTGAAAAGCACAAAAATCTATGCTAGGAGTCACTAGAAAAGGAATTTGCCAACATTATAATAATGCCCATAAATTAGGTACTACTACATGAAGGAGGGAAAAAAAGTACGCATCCTCACAAACATTCCACATGTTTTATAGCTATTTCTTATTGTCCACACCTCCTGAATAATAGGAACAATAACAGATTATGACCAGGATTATTCCCTCAATACCATTACTAATGACTCACCATGACCATCCAATGGACAATGTTTGGCCCAAGTAGAGAGGATGTCACTTGTGCCTTGGATTCACATGATCCATTTTTTAAAATGTCGAGAGAGAGAGAGAGAGAGAGAGAGAGAGAGAGAGAGAGAGAGAGAGGTTGCTAGAATTCCAGTTGGCTGAGAGGTCAGTTTCATATTTCATTTTCTAGTTGCAATATTAAGAAAATATCTCCTCTGAAGTTATTTGCATTAGGAAGACATTTCCTATTCATGAAAATAGCACCAGTTTATTCATTTTCTTATCCTGCCTTTATTATTTTTATAAATAACTCAAGGTGGTGAACATATCTAACATTCCTTCCTCCTCTTATTTTCCCCACTACAACAACCCTGTGAACTGAGTTGGGCTGAGAGAGAAAGAGTTACTGGCCACAAGTCAAATAACCATTTCTCTGAAATGGTATAGGGCCGTGATGGTGAACCTATGGCACGGGTGCCACAGGTGGCATGTGGAGCCATATCGGTGGACATGCAAGCTCAGCTCTGGCACGCATACGTGCGTGCGCCAGCCAGCTGATTTTCAGGCCTTCTGGGTCCACCAGAAGTCAAGAAACACATTATTTCCAACCTCCGGAGGGCCTCTGGGGGGGTGGGGGTGGGGAAGGCTGTTTTTGCCTTCCCCAGGCTCCTAGAAAGGCCCTGGAGCCTGGGGAGAGCAAAAAAACGGTCCTACTGGGCCCACCGTGCCATCGCATGCCAAAAGCAGGTGGGTGACCCCACCGTGCTCCCCACACTTTTGGCATGTGATGGCAAAAAGATTAGCCATCACTGGTATAGGGTTTGCTGCCTAAGCAGGGGGTTAGACTAGAAGATCTCCAAGGTCCCTTCCAACTCTGTTATTCTATTCTATTCTATTCTATTCTATTCTATTCTATTCTATTCTATTCTATTCTATCCTATCCTATCCTATCCTATCCTATTCTACTCTACTCTACTCTACTCGTCCACCAGCCGATTTCATGCTTAAAGCAGGACTAGAATTCACCATCTCCTGGTTTCTAACCTGTTGCCTTAACCAAACATGGTCATTGTCCAGAGTTTGAGAACTAATATGACTAATGAATTTAAAATATATCCTTTTAGTTTGAAGTGACCTAGTATATAACTTCCACAGCTCTTTGCTGTTACCTGCTTTGTGCTCTTGCGATCTACTATTTTTTTCAAGAGAGGAAAAATTGCAGATACAATACTCCAAGAAAGAGGGCAGACAAAAGCCAAAATAAGACAAATCAAAGCCAATCATTAAGCAGAGGAATGGTCTACAAGAGAGGTGAATAATCTGGGCACACAAATACAAGGCTGGATTAGATAATTACTGTATTTTTCAGAGTATAAGACGCACCGGAGTATAAGACGCACCTACTTTTTTTGGTGAGGAAAAGAAGAAAAAGAAATCTCCCTCTGCATCTGCCCAATTTTGCCTCGTTGCAGCAGACAGCAAACAGCCTGCTTTACTTTCAGTTTCGTTTCAGCATAGCTTGATTAGCACAAGGAAAAAAAATCTGCTCCATCAAATTACCTCTTTGCAGCAAGCAGCAGAGCCCTGCCCAAAACAGCTGAGAGCAAATCAGCTGAGAGTTGGGAGGCCGATCCAATCAACTTGTGCTAATTAGGCTGTGTTGAAGCTGAAAGGAGCTGTTTTTTCTTGCTGTTTGCTTGCAAGGAGATAACTGCTGCGAGGCAGAGGCCAAAGGGTGGGGGCCACTGGGTGGGCGGGGCTACATTCGATGTATAAGACATACCTAAATTTTCACCCCCTTTTAGGGGGAAAAAGGTGTGTCGTATACTCCGAAAAATACAGTACTGGTACTATGCTACAATCTCTATTGTCCATGGAAAGAAGCAAATAACTGCCTAGCCCATCTCTGTTGTTGCTCCAGAATAAAATTAAGCCCCAGTTATAGGTTTAATAACATATAGCTGTCATATTAAAAGTTAAATTTCAGTAACAACTTTTGGAGGTTTCTGAAAAGCTGCAACCGAGGTTTTGGGAGTCTGGATATGGTCTCCAGGTTGTACATTTGTGCGGCACATGGCTGGAAGCAAAATGCTTAGGAATCATCAGGAAACAGGATTTAAGTAAAGTGCTTAGAAATCATCAGAAAACAGGATTTAAAGAGAAGAGGGTTGCTCTTGAGGCATTGGGTTACAGATAGCACATAAAAAAATACAGACTGAAAGCAAAAAAGATATCACCAAGCAAGAAAAAAAATCTTTAATCTATTGTACTGTAAATCTGTATTACAAAAGAATAGAGTTAAACTAGGAAAAAAGACATTTTTCTTTCCAGATAGCTTAAACATGGCATACAGTAGAAATTATCTATTTCCAAACATTTACTTTGGATATATATATTGTTCTTAGCCACAAATCCTTCTGCTTCAACATCTGTCTTGCATTCTAATATGCCTCCTTTCTCAGTCCCAGCTTTTCTTAATAATTCATTATCACCCAAAGGGTAGATTACAAGGAAACGTAAATGAACCCTCCCTCCCCCCCAAAAGATCCAGTTTTAGTTCTGTGTTGTCCAGCATACATATTATCAGGATGATTGTTCAAATAAATCATGTTCTAGGTGACAGTATCAATAACCAGAAATCACTGTTGTCCATTGTGACAGAACATTTATTTTCTTCTTGTTAATAGTCACTATGAGTAATTAAATTATTTTGAGTTCTTTCAAGGAAGAAATGTTGAAGTGAAGTTGGCTCTGCAAAAAAAATAAATAAAAAAAAATAGAGCCAATGACTTGTGGCAGAATGAAGAGCTGGTGAGTAGACCAGCCCTTTGGAATTCCTCTCTGGACCAGGAGAGAACCTGAGTTTGCCCACAAGTACTCCAAACAGTTGCTCCTCAAGAGGGGCCACAAGACAGAGACCTCCAGTGGGTTTAAAGCTCAGTGCCTCTTCAAAGGACACCAGATTCGCATACCTCCTTTTCTAATCCCTTTCGGAAATTGCTTGTTAATTGCTTATCAGCTATTAGGAACCTTTAGATTGACACCGGGTGAGTTTCCTTCAATCATTAGCAAAAGAAGTTTAAATACAAGTTCAAGGACTTTAAAAATTCTTTTGAAATAAATAGCAAAAGGTTGATTAGAACTTTGATTTTAGAAAGTTATAAATGGATTGAAGGTCCAGATGGATTAGATTTTGGAATTAATTATTACTGTCCTTCCCATGGTTTGAATTCTTTAAAAGAAATATGAAAGGAAGGAACTTTTAAGGTTCCTTCCTTAAAGGAAAGTAGAAGGAATTAAAGATTATAATTAAGGGAAAAGAACACTTAAATTTGACTTACTAATACAGAATGGAGCAACATATCTTAGCATTAATTATATTAAAGGAGATCTCTGAACAATAGACCCAGAGGTTAAATTTAAGAGCATCTGTCATGATAGACAGTGTTTGAAAAATATTATGTAAGAGGAACAAGTTTAACTAGCAAGATTGAGAATTATCTGAAAGTGAATTTTAAAATGACACTACAAGAATGATATGGGGAAAAAAAAGATGCTACACTGGAAACTATCTGATGGAAAAGAAACCATCTGATGTCTTAATAATTAAAAAGGTTTTACAAATAACATAACAAAGAAGTGATCTATTTTGGATTTACAAACAAGACTTGTTAAAGTTTTGAAAAACTTTGTGTGAAAGGACAAAGAAATTTTTTTAAAAAAATCAACTTCTA